ATGCGATTAATCAAGTACTCATGTGAACAGTGTACTCCAATTTCTTAGATCAGATTAAGGCTGTTACCAGATTTCTAGAAATCTGATAAAGAGCTGGATTTTAGCTCAGTAATTGGGTTTTTCAGCACTCCTATACCCTTACTCTGATGTCTTTCGTTATTCTCGATCTGCATATGTGCAAAAATAGAGCACTGTCCTGAAAACAGCAAGCAGTGTTTAACACAGCACAAGCGAGATGGTAACAACACACTTTTGGAGCAATGCTGAAACCAACTAAACCAACCAATTTAAGTCTTCATTTTCTAGATGATGTATATTCACATTTTCCGGTAGTTAGACTCAATGTCTTAAAAAAAAAGTCCTATTATGTGAGTAGACTGGCTGGTTGCAAAGCAGAAATCAGATTATTTTCTGACTCATTTAGATCTGGAGCATGAAAACGCATTAAACAAATTACTGACAAAATATGATTTTCTGTATCAGTTTAGCTCCGCCCATTCAAGCTAAAGTTATAAGGAGTGTTTCAACCCAGACTGCTTTTTGAATGAGACACAATACATGGTAGCTATGCAGAACAGAGATCATTTATATATTTACATATCGCTGTTGTCGTAACAAAACCTTGTATCTCCAAAATGGTAACTTTACAGGAGAAGGAAAAAACCTAGTTTACTTTTAATGTAAGTCAATGGAACCAGATTTTTTCTAAGTCATTTTGGGCTGTTTCTTTTGGTCCATTCATCATGAAGTTTACACACAATGTAAAGGCCAACAGGCGTTTTGTTTTCAAATTATGTTAAAAACTGAAAAACGACAAAAATGGAGATACAAGGTTTTGATCTGACAGCGGCGATATAACACTAACAAAAACAGCTTGTTTAATTCTAAGATATGAAAAGAGGTTGAAAAACAGTTGTGTAAAAATAAATGATGGCTGTTTTTAGTACATAAAACCTCACATATCTCAAAAGTAGACCTCAAGAAAAAATACCATGCAGGTGAAGTGTAGGATATGTGGCAAGTTTAAAAAACAAAGGTGCCAGAAATGGTTATTTGGAACAACTCTTGGTTCCCTTAAGAACCTTTCAGTGGATGGCACTTTAGATGAGATGCACCTTTTTAAGACTCCCACATAATACAAAGATTTGATACTAATTAACAGGAACCCTGCACGCAGGCCTAGAACCATTCAGGAATATTTATTCTTAAGCAGAGCCCCTGTTGAACCTCTTTTTAATGAAACATGCAGTGAGTCGGGGTTCTGGAAGTACTTAAGATGCCCATGATATACTCAGACCAGCAATAACCATATCACATCGTCATACCGCCCATCCCTACCGAAGAGAGAGAGAGAACAGGGGTGTGGGGGTGTGAGCTGAAGTCATTATTTATTGAGAAATTGTGAACACCCCTTATTGCACCTCTCCCGATGACCCAAGTTAGACTATACACTATTCACAAATGTGCAGGAATTCGGCACCTTTGTTATGTGGTGTGAAGGAAAATCACAATAATCTGCGCTGCCTCAGGTGTACACACATAACCCCACTGGGCTTCAGAGCATGTAGCAGAGAGAATACCCTCCAGAGTTCAAATAGGAGCTGTTTTTTCCCATTACTTTCCACCATCAGCTCCCCAAAAGCAAGCACTCAGCGGCCCCTCTTCACACCCCTGTGGAGCGCAATAACCAGAGAGAGACGGTGCTGGCTGTACAGACGAGAGCGCCGCGCTCTCGCTCTCTCTCCCTCTCTACTGTACCAGAGCACACTAAAGTCAGTTTTTCAGAACACAGCCAAGCACTCTAGCACATTTGTGCCTACCTGCCAACAAGCTGTTACAACACGCATGCTACCGCAGCCCTTGAAAAGAAATCACAGCTGGCTAAATTTAGAGGGTGGAGGGTGATTCAAAGCAAAAAAAGGGAGGCAGCATCTGGGTGGTCCTGCGGAAATCCACTTCTGAGCCATCTATCTGAACCGATTTTGGCATTACGTAACTGATTTGCCTTTGAATATTTTCATACGTCTCCCTTCATGTGCTCCTTAAAGGCTGTGTCTCTTTATTCTCATCACTCTATGCTTTCCTGACAGAGGATAATTTTTTTTAAAAAAGCAGTGTTTATATTGTCAACAGCGCTGAGCATTGAGAATTCAGCACCGAACATAGCGCCCATATAGTCTACGCACCTTTGAAACAGCTCTAAGCATGTAATTGAAATTGGCAAACGATGTGAAAACAGACCGCATGGAATTCCTACAGAGTATTGAGAGCGTTGCGATTTCATTCGTTTGCACATGTAAATAAGAGACGATCCTGTTGTGACAGAGCTCCTAAAAAGCTGGGCAGCAAAACACTGAGCAACAAGTGCACAAAATTTCAACAATTCTGATCGCTGTCGGTAGGAACATATGGAGTCCATTCACCATATTAAACGCCTGGTTAGGCACATTTGTTGCATCCAGTTTCAGGGAGTTAAAAAAATAAGGAAACTATTAATCTAAAATTATCAGCTTCCAACCTCTACTGTGTTCATAAGCTAAAAAGAAAAAAAAACAGAAACAAAAACTGAAAAATCTAAAAAATGCACCCTGTCACACATTACCATGTTTAGGGGAGGATCCTATAAAACTATTCACTTTCAGTCGGTCTCATATCCCCTCAGTCAGTCACTGACCAAAAAAACGCCTCCGCAGTCTCTCCCAAGCCAGTCGTTCAACCTCAACCACAAAATGCACATTGTAAACGTTCCATTCACTCCCATTCAATACAAAACCCAGCCCTGAATGATGAGAAGCTATTGAGGTCCACCAAAACGGCTGAATTGCAAACAGTTATGTTGAAATTTATTGCAAATCGAGGTTTCCTTCAATGTAGGGCTGTATAAACATACTATTTTTTGAGTGAGTCAGTGCTGGACAAAGATTAATAAGGAAAACACACACACATATATATATATATATATATATATATATATATATATATATATATAGATATGAAATATATATAAAATCCTATGAGAAATCCTAAAACAATACTATAGCAATTGCTTTCTCAGTATTTTTCTCGTCTTCAAACATTGAGGTAAAATATTTATCCTGTCTGAGACATGAAGGAGCAATTTCATCAGTAACTGCCTGAGAAACCACGAAAATTCTAATATTTTGCATGAACCTCCCCTTTAATACAACAGCCTTGCATCTTGCCTTCCTTTCTGCTTCTTTGAGCTAATTCCGCAGTACCCTATGACCTCTGTATTTCAATGTTTATTGAAATAAAATCTTCAATTATTTTATTAGCAGGCTAATTACACATAGTGTGCGCATACTCACAGCTGAATTTTTGTGGCAAATTGGAATTAATTGGCATTTCAACAAAACCATGGGCAGTCCTGGGATAACCCATCTGCCAATTATGTTCCTGCATGTCGTGTTTCATCCTGGAAGATGAAAACACTGCCGGGCCCTTATCAGGAGCAACAGAGCAAATTAAAATTTCACTCAGACCATCCTAATCAGCGCGGCTACAGCCGCCAACGTAAACAAACTCGGAAAAAACAAAGCACGGTGCAGGCGGAGGTCTGCGGCGCGGCCGGCACTGCGGCTCCTTCAGCCTGCTGCATATGATGGCTAGAGTGGTCCTAACAGCTTTGAGAGTATGGTAACATTAGGGAAATAATGGCTATAATATTTGTAAGATTATTACTGTAATGGGCTCGGGTGGTGGCGGAGACACCTATTGAAATGAGGGGCAATCCTGCACAGCATCAGCCATCCTTAACAATGTTTGTGTCCACTGTAGGATTTATAGATGGAACAAATACATAGTAATGAAAAAAAAAAATCAGTGTATCACTGAATATTAACAATCCTAACATCTGTTTATATACAGATGAATACAATGTAAATTAAAAAAGAACTCAATCAGTTATTTATTAAGAATTTAGATTAAAACATGGATTGATTGTAATTATTATAAAGGGAAAAACTGTACAAATTTTAACCTACTAATTTAGGCCTTAAGGTCGGACATAAATAAAGATTTTTGTACCTGCAAAAATCTTTAAACCTGGTTATGATCAGTGAGTCTATATCCACATAATACTCTTATATACAAGCCTGGCAAATTAGAGTAGACATTAAATAGACTGCAATTCTTTTGTTATCATGTAAATAATGCTATTCCCAGTGCTTCAGCAGCAGCCTCTTGTAAGAGGGACCACTCAGCGCTTTTATTTACACGTGGCCCCGTGGATACAGGCAGCCAATCAGATGTCAGGTTTGATGTGGCCCCGTGGATATGGAGAGCCAATCAGATGTCAGATTTGATGTGAACTCTGAGAGGCAGCGGGCTGTGGGAGAGCGCCTCTGTCAGTTTACCTCCACTATTCAAATTCCTCCCCTAAGGCAACAACTCAGCTCCTCTAGTCCTGACTAAAGGTCTCAGCAAACACCTGAGGCCTACTAACGGATGCATACGGGTCGTTTTACAATCGCACATCAAGACACATTCTATTTCTTAATAGGCTACGTCTGGGCAATTTATTTATTTATTTATTTTTTTAAAGCAATACAGCCTCTTAAATGTCTTTAGTAGGCCACATTTATAACATGCAGATCATCATGGTTACAAATAAGAGGTTTGCTTATAAATGTGAATTCTCCATCGGCCAATCACACAGCAAGACAAAAGACAAAAACAGCTGAACACAGAAAATGCATTATTTAAAGAACTGCATCATTAAAATATAACACAGTATTCTGGAAATCATTCAGCAGGTTCAAAAGCTTTCATCTGGTGGTCCTAGGTCTATGTCTGTGCCATGTATTAGAAAAAAAAAAGCCTTAACATTTTGCCTTCAAACTAAAACAGTAAGCAAGTAAGCAGCAAGTAAACATATGTACAATAACATATACACACATTGGTGAATCTAAATGGAATTGACAAAGATAAAGCATGTGAGGACATAAAAGTGGAAATCTTTTTTTTTATTTTGTAGTTACCTGGTTCCGGCTCACGCTTTGTGCACCGCTCGCAGCGCTCCCTCCAGGGTGAGCCGTGTGTCCCCCCCAGCCATGGCCCGGGGCCCCAAACTGAGAGGGTAAATCTTTACTGCTGTAGTCGTAATATCCTCCACTGTAGCCGCGCCTCACCGGCCCCGGAGACGTGAGCAGCTGGTTTAAGGTGGGCGTCGCTCCAGGAGGATGTTGGTTCTGTCCTGTGAACCTCTGGAAGCCTCCAACACCACTGCCACATGAAGGCATGGTGAGTTTGGGGTGATTAGAGGCTGAGCCGCTGCCGCTCTGGCCCAGCATGCCATAACTGGGCCGGTAGCCCGGAAAGGGACCGTACTGACCACCCTGGAAAGCTTCGTGGGAGTTGGGGCCAGGCTCAACGTGATCAGCTGTGGGATACATCAGACCGGTGCCAAAGCCCTGCTGACCACCATGCTGATCAAAGCATGGGCCTGTTCTTGAATTCCCACTAAAGTAACCACCGAAGTCTGAGCCTGTGCCTTTTCCTCCTGGGCCCTGGCCACTGTGGTTACCCTGCTCGTACCTGCCGCCCATGGGCTCTCCTGCTCTGCGGGGCATCTCTTCCCCACTTTTAGTCCACATCTGGTCAGCGTGGCCGCCCAAAGCATGCTCCTTCCCTCCACGCTGGCTATCGCACTCTCCTTGACCCTGGTGGTGGTGGTGGTTACTTCTCTGATTGTGCTGCTGGAGCTGGTTGAAGTGGAGGGGCGCAGGATGGTGAGGCGGGAGCAGATCTCCAGCAGCGCTCCTCAGCTTGTGGTTGGCCACCAAGCCGGCGTCCATGGTCGGAGACACCGAGGTGGACCCTGAACTTGTCCTGTTTTTGACACTTTGCTGCTGGGATCCATTGGCAGGGGCGCAAGCTCGGCGAGCCAGGCTCAGCTCATCAGGGCGAGGGTGATCTACATTATTCCTCACGTCTCCTGCTCCTTGACTTGGTCCTCCTCCTCCTCCCTTTTTCCCAGAGTTTAGGTCCTGCCCCAAACCCCCGGACAGACCCTTGTTCTTGCTGCCAGAAGCAGCCGGGGCTGATGCCACTTGCGCGGCCATGGTCACTCCAACATCTCGGGCAGTGACTCAAACGCGGAGAAACATAAGAGCCAACCGTGACCGACAAGAAATGTATCGTCCAAAAAAAGAAGAAGAGAGAACTGAACAAAGCAAATGCAATCAAACCGGCTCGTCTGCACTAATATCCGAGATGAAAGTGTCCTCCTCCTCCCGGCTGCCGCTGCTGCCGCTGCGCGCTCAGTGGGGCTCCATGCTGAAAGTTTTTTTTTGCGTCCAGCTTTAAATGAAACTTTTCCCTTCCCCCGTTTCTCTCTAACCCGGATATGGGGAACTGCTCGGCTGCAGAAGCCTGTGTGTGTGGCTCAGCATGGCAGGAGAGAGCTGAGCTCGGGCAGCCTCTCCTCCCCCCGCCCTGCGAGCCGTAAAACCCGGACTGGAGCGCGGGAGGCCGGAACCGGGGGCTCAGAGACGGAACGGCTTCAACATCATCACTCGAGAGAAGAAGAATGTATAAGAAAATACTTAAGTGGCAAATTACAGTTTTAAAACTTCACAAAAACGCGGCCTAAACGCCAAAATGTCTCTGTTTGATTTGCTTTAAAGGGGAATTTCACCAATCTTTCAAAATTTCTGCTAGACAATGTAAGGATGGGCAATATGACGATATTCATCATCATGGTAATACATAATGTTCATGCCATGGTTACTGACATTCATACCATCATTAATGAACACTGTCTTTAAAATTTGCCTCACACATTTTGCACATTTTGGGTTGACTACTGCAAATATTTTGCATATTTAGCACACATGTACACTCTTTCTATGCACCAGTACACTTCTTTGTCCTTAGCGTATTTTGTATTTATTGTCTATTTATTGTATTTGTATTGTCTGTTTATTGTTGTTTTTGTACTTACATTGCGAATACATACTATTTGTGATTCAAATAAAATATGTGCACTCATCCTTTTCTTAATGTTTATGCACCAGAAAAGCAGCCCAAAGGTTTCATTATACTCTACCCCTGTATATGTATAATGACAATAAAGTCGAATTGAATTGAACTGAATGTCACAAAACAATAAAATATGCTTTTCTGAACAGATCGTGGGTATGGTTAGTGCTTGTAGAGCACTGACCAACTGCCTTTTTCATTAAAAGACAGCAAAATCAGTCCTGTTTAACTGGATTTAGTGCAACAGTAAGCCAAATATTGAATAAAAACAATAGTGTGCACAGTTTTTGATAGTATGTTTTAAATGTAGCACTACTGGTTCTTTTTTCGCTGTTCCAACTGATCAGTTGTCAGTCATTTGACATGAAGCAGTTCATTGCAGTGAGATTTTGCCATGTCTACAACACAAAGTATAACAATTTTATTTACTACCCAAAACCTCCACTCAACCTACACGTGTCTTCTGAGTTCATAATGCTAAAATAAGGGTAAATCATAAAAAATAAGTTTTCTTTGGGGACTATTCTGCCTTACAACACTCTGCATGTTCCTCCTCTCCATTAATGGGTTTAAAATGCACCGTCTTATCTCAAAACAATCATAAAACAAGATCCCAGACATACAGCAGCATATATATATATATATATATATATATATATATATATATATATATATATATATAACCATATAATGTAAAAACTTTCCGTGAGGGAGCTCATGAAACCCTTCAGATGTCTGGTTCCCATCACCACCACCATTTGAAAGGTTTTCCAGAATCAAATCACTCTGATTACCAGATTACTTTCACAACAACTTCAACTGTATGGCCAAACGTTTTGGGCCAAAGTGCAATGTTTTTGGTGGGCCAAGGAACAAAAAACAAAATATACAAATAAAGATGGCAGGTAGGCTTTGAGTTCATAAAAATGTATTTTATGACATTTACTGTAGTTTACTACTAAAATACTTTGAAAATACTGTATACAATAAATACTATAAACAAATAATTTATATATAGTATAAAGATATATTTTGCCCTGCGATGGACTGGCGACCTGTCCAGGGTGTATCCTGCCTTCCGCCTAATGACAGCTGGGATAGGCTCCAGCACCCCACCGCGACCCAGAAGGATAAGCGGTTTAGATGATGTATGTATGTGTGTAAAGGTATATTTGTTCTCTCATTGGGTGAGGGGGTAGGGGCAGGAAAGTGTCTGGACCACACTTTGGGCAGACCTGTTCTAGATATTTCAGCAGAGATTTTACATTTTTATTCTTTTCCCTTTTTGAAAATTTCCAAAAAAGTTTAAAAGAATAAACAACAGTTTGATAGGTATTGGAGGGAACTATTGACTGTTCACTCCAAATAGGATTTCTTAAATAAAAAGGGGATATAAGTATCAACTGAGTAAAATGTTTGTATCATTTTTTAATATAAATATTGAGTTAACAAGGACACACAGTGTCACTGATGTGAAGCACCACTCATACGAAGCACCATAAGCTTTTTGAATGCTAACAACGCCCCTTGTGGTGAATCTTCAGCCTGCTAAACGAGTAAGTAAGTGAGTTACAAGTGGAGCCCATGAGGTGCTTTGCATCTAAAAATAATCCAACTTCTAGGTCTCTCCTGGACCTAACTCAGAGATATTTTCCAGCACACTTGATCCAGATGGTGACAAGACTGATTAGCTGGAGCAGATGTAATGAATTACAGCTTACAGGAAGGTGGGTCACTAGAAAGAGAACTGATGACCACTGATGAGGTTAGGTGTGGTGTATCACACTCAATCACCCTTATTGGGTATTTTTGAGGGTTTAACTCTTTTCCTATGGGGCTGTGTTCAGCCCACTACTCCACAGAGGAGCTGCTATTGATGAGGCTGTGCTATACAAGGTTTTGAATGATGTGTAACAACAGTGAGTCGTAAGGTACTGAATCTATCATATCTGTTTAACAGTAAACAGTCCACTTCCAAGTGAGGCATGTCAAAATAAAGTGCTGTGTAGGGCTCGAAAACAGGTGCAGCTCAGATCACTGGTGGTCCTATAAATGTCACAAAGCTTATTCAACACGGGTTGTGGATTAATCTAGACTGCTGTTTCCCTGTTCTGTCCTGCAGTCCACCTGCAATGCACAGGTTCTGCATCTCCAGCTCTAACACACCTGATTCAGCTCCAGAAGGACTTGGTCATTAGATAATGATGGGACTCAGGTGCAGACAAAAAAACATGAAGCTGTGCTGAGCAGGTGGATTCAAAAGCAGAGCTAGGAAACACTGTGGTTGAGTCAGATTTATTGTAAATAGGGAAGACTTTCACCTTCAGGAGTTTCAGACTGTATTTGTTGATATAATAATGTAACTGTTATATTTACAGTTCTGTGCAACAGCCAGAGACCACCTTTAATTCATTTAACTTCCAGTCAAATCAGCCATGAAGCACACGCTACTCATTTTTACATATTTACAAGATAATCCACTTGAATAAGGACAAAGGAAATGCAAAGGAGCACAAAAAATGATTGACAAAGATATGAAAAAATGGGACTCCTAACAACCATGCAGGACCTCATGGACCACCAAAACTGCCCCCGTCAGATAAACAGCACTTAATGCTTTCATCTTTAAGAGAGAGGAGAAAATCAAGCTCCATTCTTGCTTCAGATATGAAAAAAATCCCCAGCTGTCCTTCCACTGTGAGAAGACAACTCAGTGCTATGAGTCCAAAAGGATGTGTAGCTGTCCAGAAGCCCTTACTTAGAAAAGGAAATAGACAAAAAAGAAGAAAATTTGCAAATTAAACAAAGAAGCAGCTGGTGTACTCAAAATATGGACTGTCCACCCGAAAGTCCAGAATGTATTTGGGATTATTTGGATTGTTAGAAGCAGAAAATGCAAACAACTTCTAAGACTGAACTTTGGAGGTGTGGAAAAACATCCCTGAGATTTCTTTGAGAAACTGAAAGCAAGTATCCTGAAAAGAATAGAAGCCATAATGAAGGCAATGACTGTGAAAAAACGGAAAAATTATATTCTATTTACTAGCTGAGGTGTATTTTTCTGTTAAATGTATGTTTTCCGCAATACTGTAAAATGAGTAACTCGTCTTTAATGTAAATTAAGCCCGTTTCAGGTGGTCTCTGACTTCTGCACAGTACCGTGTAATGACAGTGTAATAACAGTATAATCATTTCTTTTTTTGTTCAAGGTGATGATGAGGCCATTACTGATCATTTTCAGCAGTCGCTCAGTGAGCACCTAACTGCAGCAGGAGTGGATCTGCAGACTCCACGCCTGGTTTTGCGCTGGCCGTCGCTTACGACTCAATCCTGTTTATGCAGCCCTGAAACGCTCAAATCACACGCAATCACAGGATCTGTGTGGTATTCTTCTGGATCTCTTTAGAATAAGTAAGGAGTTCTCTTAACCAGCCTGAGCTGGAGCTTCACTTTTGCTTACCGGTCACCAAGCCGGCGAATGTGCAGCTTATTTACACTTGAAAAAAAAATGCATGTGGGGACAATGTTCTGTCATGGCCATTTTCCACTGTTTTATTTCTTTTTATGACTTATCACAATCATATAAGACAACATTGTGCATCTGTATGTTAAACCATTGTACACTGTGTCAGTTTAGGTTCAAATCAAGGTCTTATTTAAAAACGGGTACAGATTACTTAGACCAGATCTTTTTTTTCTGTTGAATTAAATACTTATACACAGTTACATTGCACTTCATCCTGGCCTTCATGGAGAGCTTTGATCGGCTGCAACAGCAAGGAAAGACCACTAATGGCAGAAGGGTGAAATTACAATCAAGCCGAAGAGGGCCAGCATAACAGTGATGCATCTCTTAAAAGAGCACTCCAATATGTACAGTTCATTTATTCCCCGAACACTGAAGACGGGAATTGTTTCCAGTTATTAATTTCTCAGTGAGTGTAATATTCAGTGGCAGGCGTTTGTATTGTAAAAAGTCGTACTGTGGTGGTGGCGGTGGTGGTGGTGGCGGTGGTGGTGGTGGGGGGGGGGTGCAGTCTGGTCCCCAGTGACATACAGGAGCACACTCCAATGTCCCTGAATTAATCTAGAGACACGCTGATCCATTTGAATAGGAGCGAAGAACAATAGCGCATTAGCTCATTTGCATTTATGTTTAATTTATAACCATAAGCGTCTTGTGATACATCAGGGCCCGAAAAAGCAAAATTTTAGGGTATGAAGGGAAGGATATGAAAGGGAGTGCACTTCCTAGCGGCTGGCTGCAGACGGCCGCACGGTGGCAAGCAGGCGTGAACGGAACGGCGCAGGTTGGGTGGAAAAAGTGAAGAGTCCACAAAGGAGATGCTAATAGACTGTATGAATATGGATGTCTTTTTGTGGTTCTTTG